CCTGCCGCAGCTGTGGAAAAGAAGTGTTAGGCTGGAATGCCTGAGTCCAATTCCACGTCCAAGTCCAAGTAGCCAGGAACCGTTTTTGAAAGTTAGGCTCCGAGGCCTTTACAAGGCCAAGTTTCGAAGGAGAGCTCAAAAGAAGCTTCACCCAAGATTCCCTGCCGCTGCTGTGAAAAAGAAGTGTTAGGCTGGAAGCCTTCTGGGAAAGGGTGGGGAAGAGAAAGTGAGAGATAGAGAAAGAGAAAAAAGAAAGAGATAGATATATAGAAATAAAAATACAGGTAGAGATGGAGAGATAGAGAGACAGGGAGATATAAGAGATAGAGAGATAGAGCGACCGAGCGGTAGAGCGGTAGATCGAGCGATAGAGCGGTAGAGCGATAGAGAGATATACAGCGATAGAGAGATAAAGAAGTAAAGATGTAAAGGTAGAGATATACAGGCAGAGATACGGATAAAGGTACAGGTTGAGGTCGAGGTAGAGGTATTATATATAGTGGTGGAGGCAGAGATAGCGCTGAAATCTATTGATGTCAGAAGTGTTTCTCGTTTGATTTGAGATAACATTTCTATTGATTTTATGGAAAATTTCTATTGATTTTATGGAAAATTTCTATTGATTTTATGGAAAATTTCTATTGATTTTATGGAGATTTTCTATTGATTTTGATGTGGAGGTTTCTATTGATTTTTATGTCGCAGTTCTATTGATTTTGAGGATTTAAATTTCTATTGAAAAAGATCGTTTTCTATTGAATTTGATCGACACAATCAAAACGCTGAGAATTTTCAATCCCGCTTGATTTTTTTCAATCGGCGGTCCTCTGGGGAGGAGTACCAGCCCGTAGATCCTGAGGGCATTGACTGCCAATCTGCCAATGTCTCCTTTCCTCGGCCCATGTAGTCTTCGCGGTACCGGGGCTTGGAGTGGTGCTTTTGCAGAGTGCGGATCGCCCGGTCGGGCGGCCGTCGTCCCTGTTTGCGGGCTGTCCAGATCCGTGCCCGTACCACAGATCTTTGTTGCCGGCGGCGTCGATGCCACGCTGGCGATTTGGGCGTTCCAGCTATGTCTTTCGTCAGGGGCGTACCTAATGTGCTAGGTACTGGGGTCCTCAGCAATGTCCGGTTCCTTGACCAGACTCGATCCGAGACCCTGTATGTATCTATATATATATATATATATATATATGCATCTGTATATACCCTACTAGTCCAAAGCAGGGGTTTAACGCGTGCGTTAGTGTAAAGGCTCTACTTTACTGAAAGACCCTGGTTCACTGGATTCAAGAGAAGCCACTGTTGATCATGATGCGCCCCTTGCAAATGCACATGCTCTTGATGCGACTCTTTGTTTTACCCGGACCGTCGCTTCGCGCTCTTGTTCAAACTTCTAACTCGCAGCTTTCTGCCCATCGAGCGAAGACGGTATCTCGCAAATTGCATCACACTGCGTTCCAGCTTTTTGCGGTCTGAATTTCGAGCAACACCTCGAGTAGCACAAGTCAAGTTCGATCTCGAGAGCACACAAGGACACTCGCATCAGCCCTTTTGCAAAACGAGAGGCTCTTCAGCCACTTCATTGCGTCCTCCTCCCTGAAGGTGTGAAAGAATCGAGTGTTAAGTCCTCGGTACAGAAATCTGGTGTTGCGGTAACTCAGCCCCGACTCAACCACGAACAAAAGTCACTCATGAAACATTCCCAGTTGCTTCGGCGCTGGAGATCGCGCATTTGATGATGAAACATCTAGGTTGCAATTAGCGTGTCGGTGCACGCCATCTTATTTGAGTCAGCTTGCGACCTAGCTTCGTGGATTTTCGGCCGTACTTGCCAAGCCAATCGCCCCATCCTGCGAAAGTGGAAAAAAAGATTTCACAATGCGATGCGAACGATTACATGGATACACCCTGCCTCATATTCATTTTGCACAGGAGGATGTGGAATCGTAGGTATCGCATACCACAGCGGTAAATTTTGTCAGCTGCATTAGCAGACCTTACTAAGCAACAGCCTGGTGATTGTGTGCAACGCTCGAAACATAATCCTTGCAGCCTAGGAGCAGGAATCGGCCATTGCTTTCGACTCGATGAAACCATTCGCAAAGGGATTGCCTGAAAGAGCAGTGTCTTAATATTGTTTAAATACTTGAATGGGTTTCCGGGCATTTTGAAACGAACCAAAATTCAACATTATTACGAGGGACATAGCAGCCGCGGTCGGTGCCAACAAGCTGTCATCAGCTGGCCATGCACGGTGTTGCACAAACCATTGTCCAAAGTCGCGGGTGGGAGTGGTGTTGTATCGCACGGCTCGTTGCATACAATCCCCAAGCCAAAGAGCAATAACCCTCCCATTGTAGCCCTTGTGCCCCATATGAGCTCCTTTGTGCTCTTTCCAAACCTGATGAGAACAAAGCTTCCCAAACATTTGCTTGACACCGATAAATCTAATGCATATTTTAAGCTTACAACCGAAACAGTTCAAACATGCTAGATCGGACTGGGGACAAGATTCGGAACAAACTTGGTCTGGGAGCATCGGATGCCTGTTTCCTTCTGGAAAGTCTTGAAATCGCGAAAAGCAGTTACCAAACGTTTATGCAGCGAGAGCGTCTGCGGACAGCCAAAGTATCCGCGGTCTAGGAGGTACATCCTGAATAGCAAAAAAGCGCCAAGCTTACATACTCCACATGAACACGACTGATAATAAATCAGAGGGGCAAAGTAGAACCAGTCGCATCTTGACAGATCCCCAAGTTGACATTGTGCAGACTGCAATGGCACAGCATCGTCATATGAAAATGGTGTAGGCCTATGAGTGGACCTCGGTCGATGATATTGTTGTATCACACATGCACGAAATTCTCAAAGTTCAAGCTGTTAAGTAGTAGCGAAGCCCTAAACATTGGACCATAATACAAAACAACTATCAGCGACGGCGCATACGTCTTCATCCTCAATCCCGGACAGTATGAAATCGTTGTGTGATATCTCAGTGGTGGCCCAAGTCGGGTTGTCGGAAACATCCAAATAGGAATGGGTTGCGTGTTCATGGTTCTCAGCATCACATCTCCAGCATAAGAACCTTTTCTTCCAATACCTTGTGAGCCCAAGCACTCTCCAGAAGAATTCCCAGTCTCCTTTGATTTCTGTCGTGGCAAACCGATGAGGAAGCTTTTTGCTTGTTGGCGTGAGGCCATCGAAACATAGGTTCAAGGATTCGACAACTGCCTTGATTAGTGGGTTTTCGCTTCGTCGGCCCAAACTGAGATCGGCATCAAGGCTCCACAGCAACCATTGGCTCATCCGAGTGCTTTTTGGCCGCCACAAAACCAGACTCATCCAAAATCCAGTGATTTTGGATTGGTCATAACCTTGCCCGTATCGAGCCGAATCACCATACACAGCCAATGGCACATGACTTCCGTCGAAATCATCAGCAGCGGCCCACGGAAAGACTTTTTTGGCATGCACCCAGTATTTCTGTAAAAGTTCATCGTCGATTTGAAGACCAACCTCCTGAAATAAGTAGTTCAAAACCAAATGCGGTAGGAGGACCGGGATCTTTACCATCCGCTCCTCGTTGCTATCCTCTTTCTTTCGAACAACAGTCTCGATGAACACCGGTGCCTCCCAATTACAGCTTGAATCGGGGAAATGAAAAAAGCAACAAACAAGACAACGGCCACCCTAGCACGAAAATACATAGAAACGAAGCTGCTAAGCTACATCTAGGCCAGGACACAACAGGAAGTCGCAGTGCTCGTGCAAAATCTCTTGAGTTGTTGTGGCCGCTGTAGGATCCCAATGTTTTGAGTAGCGGCGGTAGATCAGTGATCCCATCCTTAGATGCACGGCACAACCGATCACGATTGGACCCCGGACAAAGAATTCGCGAACCACTACTTGCGTAATCTCACGGTCAGTTTCTTCGATGGCTGCTTTTGCAGATCGCATCTCCTTGCCCACAGTGCTCGCCTGCAGCAGTACATATTCAGATAAAGTATTCGAATATCCGTTTGGCAAAGATACATGCCGGGACTTGTGCAGCCAAAAGACAGCTCCAGCCACTGAGTCGAGTATCTCACCGATCATATTTGAACTATCATCACCGGGAGAGACACCTGCGAATCATCCAAGTACAATAAAAGTATCATCTACATGAATGCAACTTCTCACTTGTCGGAATCTGAAGATGCAGCTTCTTTTCGCACCATTGCCGCGATTGCCCACCGACTCCTTTCATGCGTCGCTAGTGCACAAGTCAGCAACCCCTGTTCCTCGTGCGAAACACATCTTCGGCCAATCGGCAGGTTTCACCGGCGATGCCAGGAAGCATTCACTTTCATATCGACAGTTCCATGTCGACGAAAACCCCGTCAGGCCATGTAACCCTTTAATGCACACGGCGAGGGTGACCTAGTAGCACCAGGATGTTACCTAATATGCGGTTTTGAGCGGGTGCGTGTATCATCGGGTTCATGACCATCCCCACTACTTCTTTCCAGCCTTGGCTGTCCCTGCTTTCGGTCTCTTCAAGCTCAAAGCAGTCTCAGCCTCGTCGTTGCATTTCTGGGCGGCATCGATTTTCTCTCTGATGTCGCTGTCCTGCGGCGGGATATATGAAAAATCCAGAATGCGTGTTAATATTTTTGTGTTTACTAAAGAACCCAATATCGACCCGAAGATTTCAACTCTGTTCCTTGGCAGAGTCGACGGCTTGCTGCAACTGGGCTCTGGCTGTCGACAGCTTTCCAATCGTCGCGTCCATGTCTTTCACCAGCGCTTTTCGCAGCTCGGGGCTCCTTAATACTCGTTATCGGTACTGCATGTTGTATGCAAGATTTGCAAGGTTTGAGAGCCAGACAAAGCGGAGATATCGTCAGTGCTTTTCTTCAGGTTCAAGGCTTTAATCTTCCTGCTCGCAGCAGCCAGAACCTGCCATACCAACAGAATATGCATGCATTCTTTGACACGACACATTTCAATGACGTGTGCCACTACCTTCGGGCCTTGTTCGCTTCCATTGTCAGTGCCTTGGCCTGCTGCTTTTCCTCTGTGTCCTCTCCCTTCTTGTTCTTGCTTTTTCGCTTCTTGCTGGCCTTCTTATCCTTTTTGTTTTTCTTGGACTTTTTGTCCTTCTTGTCTTTCTTTGCAGTCTTCTTCTTCTTCTTGCGGGTCTTGGCTCCCGAATCCTGGCATCTTTGGAATGCATGAGAATCTAAACAGCTAAGCTCGCAATGTGTATTATCAGAACATACTATGTCCTGCCTCCGAGGAACTCGATGAGGATGACGAGTCATCACTCTCGCTCATATAATCCTCTGCTTGGAAAAGATCTGAAATCTCCACAGCCGACTCATCATACTCGGCATCGTCGACCAGCACGAGATATTGTGTCAAGCCTCGGTCGCCATCGAATTCGATTTTGAAATATGACTGTCTAGGTGGGATTGGATAATATGGCTGAGTTACTGGGGCATTCCGGGTGCTCACGGATCTCCTTCTGACGGAGCTCGGGGTCAGTCTCTTTTCGTAGAATCACAGCATCCACGATATCTTTATCGTTGTCGAAATGCTGAAGTAGCTGGGAACGGGTGAGCCACTTTCGGCAGCCCAACGAAGAATTCTTCCTTTTCGATGTCACCGTCTTGTAGATGATACCATTCTTCCATTTGCCTCCGGTGCTGACAAAGTCTTCGTACAACGTGCTCATCTTCGTCTTGCCTTGGGTCTAGAATTGGGTCTTCAAAGATTAATCTAGCAAACATGAAGCACCTGAGCCCATGGCAATACTTGAACCTCTCGAAGGTCTTTTTGATCTCATTCGGCGTGTGCTTGCCTAGGTTTTGGTTTGATTAGGTGAATCAGGAGAGATTTTGAGAGCAGAAAGACCACAGAAAACAGAGAAAATCAGACTGAGGGATGAACTCTTCACCGATCGCCAAAATCTCATGTAGAGCTTGCGGGCTTTGCGCTTTCGAACGGATGCGAGGTTCTTGGCCTGGGCTCCTTTGCCTCCCTTCTTGAATCCATTCTTTCGCTTCAGTTTCTTTGTTCTGGGCTTGGCTGTGGCCGCTTTTGCTTCGTTGCTTGCATCCACAGGCTTCGGCTTGTCGCCTTCATCATGCTGCTCCGGTTTGCTGCGCTTGGCTCTTCCCGGCTTGGTTGGGGCAGGATCGGTGGAAGCACAGGCAAGGGGATCCCGAACACTCTTGTCGGAGCTCGGAGGGGTAGCCTTCGGCAACCTGGCTTTCGCTTTCGCCTTCGCTTTCGGGGCTGTTGTCGGGTGCATCTTGGTCGGGGCTGCTTTGGCTTTTGCTTTTGTTTTTGCTTCTGGTTTTGCTTTTGCTTTGGCCTTGGCCTTGCCTGCTGGCAAGGACTTCTGCTTGGTTTTGCTTACAGCATCTTCTGTCTCGTGTTCCGGCTCCGGTGCTTCTGCGGGCGGGGCTTTCATCTTGTCTTGCTTCTGTTGCAACTGTTCTTGTTGCTCCTTTGCAAGCTTTGTTCGGTCTGCACTGCTTGGGATATCTACTGTCTGTGCCCTTCTCAGGAAAGAAACAGCTGGCTTCTCCCCACTCATATCATCTGTCATCTTTCTGTTGATGCGATGCGGGGGGGTCTGGACCTGTGTGTCGGGAAAAGATTCGGTGGAAGACAAGGTCGGGGGCTTGGTCTTTGCCTTCTTCGAAGCTTGCCAGGCTTGCTTCCCCGTAGAGTCGGGACTGGCTGGCCTCTTCGGGCTTGGGGTTCCTTCCGACCCAAAAGGATTTTGGGCATCTTCGGTGCTGTCGTACCGCCTTAGAAGTACATGGCACCACTAATAATTCATGTCGAACTAGCGATTGCATATATACACATGGACGGCCACATACTGAATCATCGCGAGCATGCACACATGTTGAGAATTGAACTTCGGCTGCAGCCCAGCCCTTTCTCTTCTTGCTTTGGCTTTTGCTAGGACCGATGAAACGTCCACCATAGCTGCTAGCGTCTCCCCAACAAGCCAGCAGCAGTAAAATAGATCCTCGAGCAAGAACAGCAGAGGCCCATACAATCATGTCGTGATACTCACAGACCTGAGTTCGCCGGATCAAGATGCAAGGTGTTTTTTGTGAGAAAATCGGGGGCCAAAGTTTCACAGTGTTCCGGGTGCTTTTCACGGTGTTCCGGGTGCTTTTCACGGGTTTCTCACGGTCTTTTCACGCTAGTCTCACGCTAGTGTTTTTTGCGCTCGCGTGATTACGTCTAGACCAGGCTACAAATTGCGTGACACTTGTTGCCTTTGCCACCCACAGAATCGATATTTCAAGCACAAGACCAGCACTAGCTCCCCAAACCTAGGCTCAGGTTTCTGCTGATGCTAGCACTTACACACAGCTTTGCAAGGGGCGGCAACCTATCGGGGCCTAGGAACAAAAGATCCGAAATTAAGTTTCGGATCATATTTGCCAGCTTTGGCCTCCTGCTCCAGGAAGATTTCAATATCCCTCAGACATGCCCGGGCCCAGTCAGGAGTATCTTTGATCAGCTTTGGTTTCACCTGAGCATCACAAAACGAAATCGAAAAGGGCACGGCTCTTGAAGCCAGGGGTTCCAGGCTTGGGGCCCGGCCATACTGAACCTCTGAACGTCCTCGAGGATCCCACCAATTTTCGAGGCCTCATCAGTGTCCAGCACAAACGAAAATGCAGCACCACCCACACGAAGTCTGGAATACATCAGCTACCCATGCTTGCAGTCAGGAGGCCATTTCGTGGATGTGATATGAGGACACCGCTTTTCCAAACTCCACCGGGTAGCACTGTGTTTGTTTGAGACGTGGTCCACCAGTCCTTACAATGCCACAATGCACATACATGTCCAGTCTTTACACGAACAAACTCGATCGATACTCAGCACAACACACAAGCTTCTTCCCAGTCTTCTTGCACTTCTTGTAAGTAACCACGCCTTTGGAGCTGAGGCCCTTTTGTTTTCGTGTCTTCTTCGTCAATTTGCGGTGGAGAAAGTTCACCCACCTCCTTCAAGCATTTCGACTGCTAGCGACAGTGTTTTCACACAGCCAACATAGTGTGCAGCAGAGGAATTGAGGTTCAAGCGGGGTGCCCCAAACGTGGGTCAGCTTCGGGGAGAAGTGGCCATAAGCACCCATCCAGCTGGGCAGGGCCAGCTTTCGCTTTCAAATATGAGGAAAGGACAACATGAACCGGTGTGTCGGATTTCAGCAGAAACCTTAGGCCCCCACAAGCGAGCACTTTGCACCGAGACAAACTGCCCCAGAATATCGTGAACAAATTTCATCTGCGGCAGGTCGAAAACCACGGAGCTTCCGGGTTGTTCCAGAAACCAATGGACACCCCGCATCATGGCCAGGATGCATAGTAACACAGTGCGACAAGCCAACCTTATAATCAATGACACAGTGAAGCTCACGGGTCAATGTTGACGGGTGGCAGATCACAAGCGAAACCAAAAACATTGAGTCGAGCAGCGTATTGGCTTCTTTGATGTACTTGTAGCGCTCTGTTCCCCAAATATTACTCTTGCAGCGTCCGCTCGTAGCACGGTTCATGAACGTCCATGAACCACACGGCAACCCGGCTGCCAGCAGCCCGTCCTTCTTCAATCTGAGGACTTTCATTGTGGCCCGCATAAAGCCGGACCTCAAGAGCATCAAAGCCCACAGCATGCACACGTAGGCACACCTCAAACCCATATAACACGTGCTAAGCACAACACACTGTCAAGAGGTCGTCCTCGGGCCGTTGTTCAATATCGAAGTAGTCCCTGGCTAGGGCGACATGATAACAAATGCTCCACTGCTCCACATGCACACATGCCCGGGAAGTGCACGAACTGTAAGCCCCACACGACTTGAGCCCACGAGAACCTCAAAGCTACAAAAATAAACTACATCTACATGTGCGACAAAGAAGCTGGGAGTAAGGCTGAACCCTAATTCGATGGCTCGTGTCCCAGCGAAAAGGTCCAGGCAATACAAATCCTGTGCACGATGCATGCATGTGTTGAGGCAACATATATGGATGCTTAGGTTGCGGATCTAGGTTCCAGGCCCTGACTGCGTTGGGGCCCTCCGCATTCTGAGCGATATAATCGCACAGGTGAAGCCTCAGTTCATCATACAAAGACGAATAAAGTCTAAACATCCTAGATTGCACAGTTATCAAAACGAGGGGCATCGCCAAAGGAAACCCCACCAGGACAAGGGATCGCCATGTCGTGGGTTGCACTGCCACGTCTTGTAGCAACCACCAGTCAGCACGGCCCATGATTTGAAATCAGCAAATCGCCACTAATCAAAACCCTAGCCCCACCGAAGCAGGACCTGATCACGAACCTGTCGTTCAAGCAGCAAAGTCAATCATCCGTCTGCAGGGAACATATTGCAACTCGCGAGAACTTGATTGCAGCCTTTTCAGCAGCACAGAAAGTCACAGCACTTACCGAGAATCTGGAATCCCAGCGTTGCGTGCTCGTGTGGCAGCCACAAACAAGCCCTCCCATTCGGCAGCATGAAGTGCATAAGTCCACCTGATTGCAACAACTGAAACACAATAATAAAAAACTATATACCAAAAACATCAAGCAAAACACCGGAAGCTGCCGAGTCAGAAACGCATCTTTCAGACTTTCAAATTTCGACCATCCAGCCGTTAAGCCGCCCTCGCCATTCTTGTCCACCTTCTTATCCACCTGAGACAGACTGAGATAGATCGACTGTGTTTCCATGACAAAAGTACATCAGATGATTCATGTAGGCACCAAGCGCCTGAAATTTGCATTCACCGTCTTGTTCAAACTCTCAATGTTCTTCTTGCAGACCGGGGCGATATAGAAGCATCCACTCTTTCCAGTCACTGATATCCTTAGTCGGGTCAGACTCACATACACACAATACACTGGGTTCGATACCACCAAATTTGCATGGACAACCTCAGTTCGGAACAGCACACCGATGCTGCGATGGTTCAGGTCTTCTTGACGTAGCGTGAAGCTCCTTTTCTGGGAAAGACAAGACCAAACGAACAAGGAATGGAAATTGTAATTGAACCATGGATGAGTCGCTCCTTTTCGTGCTTTCCTTGAAGTCTGAATCGATCTGCATCCGGTCATCGGACTTCGCAATTTCTTCAAGCTTCGCAATCGTGGCAAGCCTTGCTGCCTGAACCCAGTATGCAAACCACCAAGAGTACCCGGGATCCCCCTATAACATTCTCAACAAGAAGGAGCTCTAGATCTAGACTTTTGGCAATGCAACACATCGGCCTTGAAGTTTGCATCCTTTCCTGGCTGTTCTTCCTTTGTTTCTTCGCCTTCCTCATCATCAGCATCCTTCTCCGCTTCCTGCTCTGTGCCTGCCTTTGGTGCATCCATGCTTGCTTTGGGTTTCTTTGGCTTCTGACCCTCATGGGGTCGATGGCAGCCGGCCTTTTTAGAACCCTTCCTCTTCCCCTTCCTCTTCCCTTTCCTCCCTTTCCTCCCCTTCCTCGGCCTCGCTTTTCTTTTTCCGCATCCTCCGTCACTTCTGGCTCTGCTCGCATTGCATCTCTTGTTTTCTTTTGAACCTGAATGCATGACACACAGCATGGGCACCCCAAACACCATCGCAAAAACAGTGCTTCCCCTGGCACACACATACATGTTATATATCCCTCTGTCATACTGACACTCGCTCGATAGCTCTCTCTCTCTCTCTCTCTCTCTCTCTCTCTCTCTACCTCTTTGTTTGGCAGTCTCGCTCTCCCGGTCTCTTTTAATTTTATATCTATTATGTGTCTCTCTCTCGCTCTCTCTCGTCTGGTTGTGTGAGTGTGCATGTGTGTGTGTGTGTGTGTGTGTTTTGTTAGCTTCTCTCCCTCCCTCTCTTGTTCTCTTTGTCCCAGAGCTGCTGACAAGAACATCCGTGAATCCGTGTAGGAATGCATGCATACGAAACCTCGATCGCAATTCCAGGATCCTCCATCTCACTCCCCTTCAGCAGCTTGTCCGCTGTCTCCTGCACCGCTTTTGGGAGCTTTGGCGCCTTCGCCTTGATTGCTTTCTCGTCCTGCCGGTGGGTTCATCTAAGTGGTTTAGCACAACCCATGGTTGGCGATGTATGTTCGTCGTGCCATCAGAATCTGTCCTTGAAAGTACCTTTCGCGGCATCTTCATCACTTTTCAGGCCTTCGTCTTCCAAGGTCGGGTCCTCCTCTAGTGCTTCTTCTTCATTCTGCTCCATGGCTTCATCTTCAGCCTCACACAATGATCGATTGTATTAAGAAATTATCCAGGTTTGATCTTAAATCAAGCAGCTACTGAACTCCCCACCTCCTGCATTTCATCAGGCTCGCCCTCTTCGGTGTGCGCTTTCGACGCCTCCCCCTGCCATATCGTCTAGACACATGAATCTGAACGACCAAGTAAACCAGTCCAAGGTTCCTTTGCTTCGCTCGGCCATTTTGCCTCTTCCAAAAGATCCTGGAGTGGGGCAGTAGCAAAGCCTAAAACTAAAAGCATACAAAGATACTTAATGGTGCCGTCCCCAGGCCTTCTTAGCTTGTCGGATGGCCTCCTTCATGATCAGCATTCGCTTTCGTTTTTCGGACTTGCCGCCCCTGCCAGTTGAGACCGAAAACCCATTCCCAATGCAAACACCCCGAGATCCAGCCTGACCCCTTTATTTCGAGTGGTTCTCTCCTTTGTCCATGATGCAAACGATCTTTGCAGCTCTGCTTCATTCTCGAGCCATGCCTGAAGCGAGTTCGAAACTTTGATCACGAAATTTGGAACACATCTACCCAAAGGCAATGCAACTGGGGTGCTTCAAGGTTCACTTGCTCCACACCAGCATGTAGACGAAATTCAGTATTCGCCCAATCGAGTGCGGCCTGCGATCTCATGTTTCACCAAGCGTTGAGTGGACCCTCGAACACACTGCCTTCACCTCCTTCTTGCTGGGACCGACGGTGGGGAACGTCGTGACATATGCCAGGATAAAATCAAAATTCGGAGATGACGTAACCTGGTCAGCTACGAACTAAGTTTACCGAGGCTTTCACATGAACATCGGCCACAAACTTGCCTGGGTTTCGTTGGGCTCCGTCGTCGTAACATTCAGGAAGGAAAACATCACACCCTGTCCAGAAGGCACTTGGATATTACTACCTAGGTACGTGGGATGCAATTGCCTTGTTCGTGCCCTTGCGCTTGCGAAGGGCGGCAAAGCGATCGTTGATGTAGCTGGGCTTTAAGAAATCGCTGTAGAGCTCCTGAGGGCAGACAAATTTCAAGCATCGAGGGATAAATGCAGGCGGAGGCTTCAGTGTTTGTCCTTCAGGAGTGCAACAACGTGGGGCTTCGGTTTCGAGTCCGGCATTGTGGAATTCAAATCTAATCTTTTCGGTCTAGTCTAGTATTTTGTCGTCAGATTAGATTCTTGCGGTTTTGGGATACGTTTCGGCCTGATGCGTGCCCTAATTATGGGGACAACCCCCCTAGAGACTCCGAACTTGGACGTTGTGTGTGCTGCTCACAGTATATTATTCAAGCACTCGGAAAAGCTGCAGACGGAGGTGCAACAGCAAAGGTCACCCAATGCAAACGATCACAGCACAATCACAGCACGATCATTCGATGCATGGGTGTGGCTGCACCCGAACCGCTGATGGCACTGTCGTCCACATCGTCCAGACCTCCGGTTCCAGACCAAAGCGAAGCTCAAGTTCGCAGTCAATCCCACCCAAAATCTCAGGACCATGCGCTGTAGAAAAGCTTTTGGGCTGCGGAACCGCATGTTCAGGGCGACCTTCGGATTCTGAACTCAAGACTTTGTCCCGCCGTGTTTGATGTCAGAAAAGAATTCTCAGAACCGCACCACGAATAAGATCAAGATCATGCTCGCGGGTCCATGGCATCCACACCGAGCCCCGAATATTGCAAAAGAACCCCGAAACTTTTTTGCTGAGCTGCTGATGCCCGCTGGTGTTCGTGCTGTGTGTTATTGAGAATCTGTTGTTTGCAACGAGCAGCTTCTCTGCCCTGAAACAGTGACTGCAAGCACCTCAAAGCCCAAAGCTTCGAAAGTAGCAAAGCAGGGGTTTAACGGGTCCTTTGCCAAAGCATCAGTTTAACGTGTGCGTGGACCTGCGGGGTATATATATATGCATATATATAGAGAGAGTGTATATAGACAGATAGATACACACACAAACCCTAAACCCTAAACCCTAAACCCTAAACGCGCGCGCGGGGGACCACAGGAAGTCTCCACCTCGTCAGCGCTCGGCCGCCGGGGCTGAGCTTTGGGATGCCTGGCTCCGGGTCTTCGGCTCTTCTGCTCTGAGCTGAGGGGGCCCGATAGCTTGAAAAACCGTAAACCCAAACCCTAAACCCTAAACCCTAAACCATAAACCATAAACCACCAAAACCCAAACCTAAACCCTAAACCCCCAAAACCCAAACCTAAACCCTAAACCCCAATACCCTAAACTCCAAAAGCCCTAAACCCTGTTTCGGGTGTAAGGTTTAGGGCTCCGTAGGCTCTCAAGCTTAAAAGCCCCAAAACCCTAAATCCTCCTAATCCTTGTTTTGGTGTAGGGTTTAGGGCTCGTTAGGTTTCTTTGGGGTTCTATAAGGGTTCTGGAAGGGGCTTAGCTTTCCATACAGCGTGTAGGGCTCTGTAAGTGTCCTAATAAAAGAGGTGCAGAGATTAGGATGTGCTTGTGTTTTGCTTAGTTTGGCTCAGGGCGGAGTTTGTGTTTGAGTTTTGTTAAGTGGGAATTAGAGATAAGTAGTCAGTAGATACAGTAGTTGGAGGTTTAGGGCTCATGGGTTGGTTTGGGATGGAGGGTTTGGCCGGGGGCGCATGGCAAGAGCACATCTTGTGGAGAACGTGTGGAGCTGTCGGAGCTTTTGTATTCAGGCGTGTTTGCTCTTATTGTTGCCATTGTCCTCCTCGTCCTCGTCATCATCATCACCATCACGACCTCTGGTGTTAAAGTTGCGGCCGGCCTGATTGGTGCTCTGACCGTTCTAATTATTCGTGGCATTGCCATGCTGCAGTGCTGGTGTTGGGCTCTTCGGGACGACAGGGACGGGCTCCATTATAAAAAGCCCACGGTGCTCGTGGGTTTTCACGTGCATTTTCCACAGCATTGTAGCCAAAGCCACATCAGAGGCACGGATGAGATCCAAGCGCTGGCATAGGTGGGTCCCCCTACTGTAAGATAATGAAAACCCTTGACGCTGAACCGCCTAAGCCCTCACAAATCCAGCCACCAAGCCTCAGAAAACAACCATCCAACGAGCCCTTCAAGTCAGGCCCCACAACTCGAAGCCTAAGTCCTGAACCGTACTCTGTGGTCCCCAGGCCCATTAAGAACTGCACCTTTGTCCCCGAACTTAGCCCTGAACTCTAAATCCCAAGCCCGGGTTCCGCAAACCGGAAATCTTAAACCTAAGCCCCAAAGTCGCTATAGGGGTCGCGCACAAACAAAAAGAACATTCCCTTGTTGTTCCAAAGCCTCTATCCATCTATCTGCATCTGTATCTATATGTACATTTATATGTCTATCTCACCTATATCTATATCTATGCTTTTATTTGTATATAGCGGAACTAGAAAGACCGAGCCTTAACCACTCATGGAAGTCACCAGTCCTCGTGATACGGGCTTTGCAAGTTGGGCTGTAGGGCCTCAAGGCCTCAATTGCCTCAGGCATAAATATCTCTGGAAGATTGTTTATGGGATTTTCTGAAGTTCCACTGATGGTTTTATGAGGGTTCTACTTTACGAATATAGAACCCTCATAGAACCACAATATGGGTTCTGTAAGTGTTGCGTAAATATGGGTTGCTAAGGGTCTGTAATCGCTTCGCCGTTAGGGCTTGGGATCTCGAGCCTCGGCGTTTGCAGCAACAGCAGGGCACAACCTAAGCCTAGACAATGAGCTGCAAGGCACCAACACAAACACCATACACCCTACTTTCACGTTGTTTATAGTATAAACTTATGAAACTAGTCTCTACTTTTTTTTATATTTTAAGTCATAGTATATTTTAGTATGTTATATGAAACACAACCATAAATCCCTAACCCCTAACTCTTTAACTTGGCCCGGACCCAAACCCCAACCGAGAAAATCTGCCCTCAACCTCGACCCCAAACCGAAAACACCAGCTTAGTGTTTAGGGTTTAGGTTTACAGTAGAAGCCCAAGAATTGGAAACACAAAAGCCTCAATCCCTAAGAATCATGCATAGGGAATCCCAGAACTAATCATCATTCATCCGGTTTCCAACATTTGTTGGTTCAGGCTGCCTCTTAAACCCGAAGCCCAAGACTCCGAGACCTCTGAGAAGTTGATTCGGAAGGGTAGAACCTGATCCCTTCACCCCAAAACCCTGACCAACCGCTAAGGAGAGATTATATCATATTCCATCATGTCAGACTGTGTGACACTGTGCTATATTCTTATATTATATGATAGCCCAGTATAATACCTTGTTATATCAGAGGAACCCCAAACCAAAAAAACGAAAACTGGCAAGACCTGGGATGCCCCGGCCGCTGATGCAGATGGTCCTGCCAGCTTCCCCGGGAAAAAACGACTGTGCAGCCTAGACGAACCCTTTAGGGAACCCTTAAAGGAACCCTTAGAGGAACTCCCAGGGATTCTGTGAATCATGCGTATATTTCATCTTAGTGAGTTATTCGCGTATGTTCCTTGTGTTAGTGTTGATACTTCCTTGGTTCTTTGATTCTGTCAGCAGAAGACTTGTTTTCAGTAATCGAGATAAGGGTATATGGTGATGGCGCTGATGATGCTGCATAGCTCTGGCACTTGCTGATCCCTAGGCCACCACTATGATCGTCGCGACTGTCACTTATCTGCGTTATCCCACAAACAAAAACTTAAACTTACCCGCTGCTACACTGTCAACAACTATTCATTACGATCTCTGCTAAGCCGCTGTCGTAAAGAGTCGCCCTAGCATGATCACGACTATCAGTAAGAGCGGTTATGCCAAAAAGGCTACGTATTAACCTTTTCAGGGTTACTTGGCAGTATTACTACCCGCGAAAAGTTTTGAAGATTACATGTAGGGTTTATCTACGCCCACCCGCCTCAAACACAACATGTCAATATAATTCCAGGGTTTTGGAGGCTGTTCTACCTACCCAAACGAAGTCAGAGGTTACCTGCTCGATTCCGAAATCACTGAACCTTAGACTCTAAACCCCTAAACACTAAACCTCAAGCCCTAAACCCTAGACTCTAAACCCCTAAACCCCCAAAACTTGAGCCCTAAATTCCGAAGCCTCTAAACCTCAAGCCCTAAACTCCAGACTCTAAACCCCTAAACCCCCAAAACTTGAGCCCTAAACTCCGGAACCTCTAAACCTCAAGCCCTAAACTCAGGAGCTCCTGGGTCTCTATGCGGATGGGAGGAAGCTTCAAAGGCGCCTGGGTAGGGCGGGCTCAGGGTGGAGGTGAAGGACAAGAACAACTACTGTAAGACACTGTCTCCGACGGCTCTACATATATATATATATATATATAGAGGGAGAGAGAGAGAGAGAGAGAGAGAGAGAGAGAGAGAGAGAGAGAGAGAGAGAGAGAGAGAGAGAGAGAGAGAGAGAGAGAGAGAGAGAGAGAGAGAGAGAGAGAGAGAGGAGAGAGAGAGAGAGAGAGAGAGAGAGAGAGAGAGAGAGAGAGAGAGAGAGAGAGAGAGAGAGAGAGAGAGAGAGAGAGAGAGAGAGAGAGAGAGAGAGAGAGAGAGAGAGAGAGAGAGAGAGAGGGAGAGGAGAGAGAGAGGGAAGGAGTGAGACAGAAAGAGAGAGAGGAGATGAGAGAGAGAGGGGAGAGAGAGAGTGGGAGAGACAGAGAGAGAGCGAGAGAGAGAAAGAGCAGAGAGAGAAAAAGAGAGTGAGCCAGTCGCAGTTCCCAGCTCGCCCCCCAAAAAATCATCAAAAGACATGCTTCTAATCTAAGCCTTGCAGGCTCCAAAGCACGAAAGGCTGAAACGCCACAGCTGGACACCCGAGCACCTCGTTCGGACGTTGCGTGTCCAACTCTGAGATGATGCGTGTCCTTGCAGATCCGTGCTCGTACCATCGAGGGTCTAGGGTTTAGGGGGCCTGAATTATTAGAGTTTCGCAGCGTTTCATAAAGGCTTCATGAATGTTCTTCGGGTCGTCCAGTGCTGATTAGAATGGGGCTTTGGGGGTATGTCACGGAAAAAAGCCAGAGGGGCTGTAAGGCAAGATTTGCAGACCTCCACACTGTTACACCGCAAACACCGCAAAAACTCACACCGTGCGAGTACGACGACTGAGGACTCCGCACGGGCCCCTAACGACAGTGTCTGGAGCCTT